AATATTTTATTGAATATGTAATACGAAATGCTAATGATGATATGAATGGAAGGTTTTTTTGTCCTTGTGTTAATTGTTGTAATGCGACTCGCCTAGAACTTGATGTTATAAGAGAACATCTTTTTTGTGATGGATTTCTTAAGAAGTATACATGTTGGATATGGCATGGTGAAAATGTTGACATTCAAAGTGTATCAGTCGAAACTCAAACTCAAACATTTACACAAGATATAGATATGGATGATCGGTTAGAGGAGATGCTTCATGATGTGGGTGGCCTTTGTTTCAATTAGACATCAAAAATGCCTTCTTACATAATGATTTGGAGGAGAAGATTTATATGGATCAACCTCCTGGGTTTGTTGCTCAAGGGGGGTCTGGTCTTATATGTAAATTGCAAAAGTCCTTGTATGGCCTCAAACAATCACCTCGTGCTTGGTTTGGTCAGTTTAGCAAAGTTATACAAAAATTTGGAATGATCCGCTGCGAGACAGACCACTTTGTCTTCTTTAGACGCTCATCGACACATAGATTTATCTATCTTGTTGTTTATGTAGATGATATTGTGATTACAGGTGATGATCAGGAGGGCATCAAGGCTCTGAAGCAACACTTATTTAAACACTTTCAAACTAAGGATTTAGGTCCCCTACGTTATTTCCTTGGGATTGAGGTCGCTCAGTCAAAGTCCGGAATTGCTATTTCTCAGAGAAAATATGCCCTTGATATTCTAGAAGAGACCGGACTTACAGATTGTAAGCCAGTTGACACTCCCATGGATCCTAATGTGAAGCTTATGCCTAATCAGGGGGAGCCTTATCCTGACCCAGGGAGATATCGGAGATTAGTGGGCAAATTGAATTATCTCACCATGACCAGACCTGATATATCCTTTCCTGTCAGTGTTGTAAGTCAGTTTCTTAACTCTCCCTGTGAGAGTCATTGGCTTGCAGTTGTTCGAATCCTTAGATACATCAAAAGATCACCAGGAAAAGGACTTGTTTACAATGATAGAGGACATACAAACATTGTTGGATATTCAGATGCAGATTGGGCAGGTGATGCAAGTGATAGGCGGTCAACATCAGGCTATTGTGTCTTCATGGGTGGTAATCTTGTCTCATGGAAGAGTAAAAAGCAAAGTGTTGTTGCACGATCAAGTACAGAAGCAGAATATCGTGCTATGGCTCACACCACATGTGAGCTCTTGTGGCTAAAATTCTTAATTCAAGAGTTGCAGTTTTGCAAGGTTGGTCATATGGAACTAGTTTGTGATAACCAGTCAGCTTTATACCTCTCCTCTAATCCAGTTTTTCATGAGAGAACAAAGCATATAGAGGTTGACTGCCATTTCATCAGAGAAAAGATTCTCTCCGGTATCATCAAGACCTCCTCAGTTTGCTCCAAGGATCAACTTGCAGATATCTTTACTAAATCTTTACGAGGTCCTAGAATAACATATATATGTAACAAGCTAGATGCATATGATATATATGCTCCAGCTTGAGGGGGAGTGTTAATATAATTCTGTTTAGATATACTAGTTTATCTTCTCCTAAGTTCTAATTTAGTTTCTTTAGTCAGTTTTATCTAAATCTCTAAACTTTAGGGATTGATTATATTTTATGCCTATTTATTTTATTGTACTCATTCAGATTCAATAATAAGAAATTATTCATATTCAAGTGTATGCATGTGTCTGGTAAAGAAATTCTGTGGAGCAATATGTAGTTTAAAGTCATTCACCTTAAGCTTTTATTGCTAACTTTGAGGATGGTTTTTGTATGATGGAATATTTCAGGAAAAAAGGGTATATCAAGTGAGAATCTCTTGGTTATTGACTATTGTGAGAAAATGAGAACTACAGATCTAGCTCATGCAACCATACATGGATGATTATGATTAAATGTTTGTTGATGGGTTATATGATCACTTAAAAGAATCATGTGCATATATTTTTTAATCTAGATCATTCAAAGTATGATCTAACAGTCTATATTTATTATTCTTATTTCTCAGAATAATAAGAGTTCTTACTTGATACATTGTGTTACGCTACTGGAGAGAAAACCAAAACTTAAGGGAATGCTAAACAAGAATTGAAAATTGAAATTCATCACGAAACTTCCAAGAGTATTCTGAACAATATAATAAGAACTTATATGGGCTTTACACTTGGCCCAACAAAAGGAAAATTCAATTATTTAGTGCATTAAGAAGTCAGGTCCATTTTGGAAAATTTGTTTTATGCTTGAGTCACAGCCTAGCCCGTTTCATATCACATTGCCTTCAAAAAATTATGTTCATATGATAACAATTGTTTATGTTTATGTAAGGGTGAAGCGAATAACTGTAAATCGGTATTTCTAATACATTTTATGGTTATTAGTGAATGTTGAAGTCAGCATTAGAATGTTTTGCTGCTTACATATTTCTGAACTTCGCTGGGGTCTCTGTATGTATTTGTTATTAGAATTAGACTGATCAATTGGTTAAATTGTATCTTCTTGGTTTAGCTGGCTTCTAATAGAACAAATGTATACATGCTTATCTTTTGTTTCATGTTTTTGGTGCAATCTTTAAAACTACTCAACATGATTACTTCTTCCTTTGTACTTGGATAATATTTTTTTTCTTTTCCAGCCAATGGAACGCATCACTATCCTGTCATCATATTACTATGGTAAGAATCTTTCAATTTAAAGTTTTCTTATTGTTGCTTGTTGGTTAAAATAAACAAATAGTTCCTATAGTTTCATCCGATTTGGATTTTTGTCCATATAGTTTTTTCTTTTGAATATTAGTCCTGAGTTTCACTCATTTAGATTTTGGTCCCTCAGTGACAAATATCTAATTTGAAACTATAAGGACCAGACACTGATGGAAATTAGGGACCAATACCTTACGAATATAAGCTTTAGGGGTAAAGCCTAAAACCTAATGACACAGGGACCAAATCCAAAAAATTGAAAGAAAAAAAAAGGGACTGATATATCCAAAACAATAAGTTATAGATTAATAGGGATTAACTGTTTTGGTAATTATGCCTTTTAAAAAATTGCATTGGAAAATTCCCATATTTTATTTGATGCATTGACTGAATAAAATTTAGGGTTGCTGACTCAATCTGCATTGTGACAAGATGAAATTACATGTACCTTCTCTCTTTATTCAAAGCGCACCCAAGTCTCCAACTCTCCATTGAAAAAATCGAAAAACACAACAGCCAAGTTCAGCTACTAAAGTGATGAGGAACATTCAGAGTCTTGGATTGTGTTCAAAGATCAATTAGTCATTTAAATGATTTATGTCATCACCCGGTATTATCTTACCTCCACTCTCTCTGTAGAGATCTAGGCAATATTACTAACTGAACCCATATCCTTTGCTACCGTAATCATTCCATTGAGTCTGGTCCACTAATTCTAGAAAATTACTTCCCTTTGCTACCATATACGAGCCTGGTACATTGGATACATAGAGAAGTTCCTTTGCCTTTGTACAGGGACTTCAATGGCTCCTAATTTCATGAAAATCTTGATAAACATTCTGATGCACTACTGAAAGAAAATTACTTGGTTACGGGTACAACTTGGATAACCAAGTTATCTAAGAATGGTAACAGCATGGAATGGAAAAGATATCTAAATCAGACCCAATTGTATTTAGCATTTCAATTCAAAATATCTGCATCCGTTAAATTTTCACATGGGATTAGGAATCAGAAGGGTAGAAGAAAAGTAGAAAACAAAAGGGAGAAGAAAAATGGTATTTTTTCTTATAAGGATAAGCATTCAAGCACTTGGGAGAACCCTCCCTTAGAAGCTAGCTGTCAAGGTCAGAGACTGGAGCCACTTAAGTACTCCACCAAGCATTCCATACTACTCGACGTGAGACTTGGGCACCCCATAACACCCGAATCCCTATCATTCAGCCCCACCATGACCAACAGCACTTGAAGACATTTTTACAAACCAAAATAGAGAGAATGAAGACATGAACATAGAAATAGAGAGGCAAGGGACGAGTCCAGAAACACAAATCACAATTCGCAGCTAAAATTTTAAAAATGTAACAGCACTTGAATTGATTGATCCTTTTGTGATGTGTTTATTCATGATTTCTGTAAGGACACAAATTGCAGATTTTGGACGAGGAATGAGTGCAATTCCAAGTCCATTATGTGTTCCTTTCTTAGTTTGTTTGTCACCTAGCTTTTCTGTATACCCATGTGTTGAATTCTCTTTCCCACTGAATCTTTCTACATGTATTTTCAT